ATAAAGAAAATAAAAAATAAGGATTTTTAAAAAAATAATTTCTGGTTATATACCAGACAACCCCAAAATTGGTATCCACAGGCAAGCTGGATTAAAGAACAAACAAACAGATGAGGTAAACTTTGACCATTTCCCCATTTGGTTGATTCTAACTCACAGTGACCATCCTGCTTGGGATTCTGAAGAAGGAAATCTTCCTGGGTGGAGGCTGCCCAACCATCACCCAAGGGGCAGCTAGTGGATTTGAACTGCTGACCTTTTGGTTAGCAGCCTACATGATGTCACAGTTTCTCATAATTCATGGTTTCACTTTCCTCGGTTTGTTACTTGAGGTCAGCTATGGTCTGAAAATATTTATGTGCTCTCCCACTGTCCTGCTCTGACCTGGTACTGTTTCTTTATCCAATAAACACCGGACTAGAAATCACAGCTGTGTGAGTGGCGGCGACAGGGTGACCCTGCCCCCCAGTACCATGGGTATCTGTCCTATGTGAGAATGAGAAAATACATTGGACTTGGTGGGTGTGATACTCTCCAAGGGTTCAAGATTTAAATGGGGGTCTTAGAATGCATTGCTTATGGATAAGGGGAGTCACGGTAATGAAATCCAGAAACTGCACATCTTATAGCTAAGTAGTTCTTCGGGATTCACATTTGCTGGCTTGCAGTTGTTTTTTTCCAAGTTTAAAAGGAACATTAAGTCCATTTCTTACCTGTAGGTTGTCCACTTGGACTTTGACAGCTTCTAAAGAGCCGGTAAGCAGTCGGAAGCGGGACAGGGCGTAGCGCGCCTCCACAAGGTTGCTGTTGATCTCATCAAAGGCCACTTTGTAACTGCCCCACTGGTCCAGCACCCCCTTCAGCAGGGTCTTTAACTGCCCAGCCTTTGAGAGAGACAAAACCTGTCATCATAAGGTGGCCTGAACAGGGCGCCGGCAGGCTCACAGACATCATAAATAAGCTAACAGAAATAATATTTTTCAAAAGCGATTTGAAAAGTTAAACGCGGCAACTTGGCAAGTGAAACTGTCTAAACTCAGACATCTTTAAAAGATGATTTATGGACATCTCTTTTTAAAGTGAAAAGGGATCAGGATATTTAATATCACAGTTTAGGAAACGGACTGAAGATGCATTTGAAGCGTATTTACTTATTCAGTCTTCATGACAATTTTATGAGTTTGGTATAGTTATTTTTACTATGACACAGCCACATAGATGAAGAAGTTGACACACACAGAGGTTACACGAGTTAACTAGATCACGCCGTTAGAGGGAAGAGGTGTGGATTCTGATCCAGATAGCAAAGTACTAGGAAAGGAAGTTTTACATTTATATATATTAGTTGTTGTTATGTACTGTCACCTTAGAACTGAGCTAAAGCTGACCTTCCGTTGGGTTTTCGGAGGCAGTAAATGGCAGGAGAAGAGAATGCCCGCCATTCTCCTTCTGAGAGGCTGATACATCACGTGCCTCTGGGTTGACAGTGCAGCTCCTTACCACTAAGCCGTATGTATGTAAGTATGTAAGTATGTTTGTATGTATGTATGTATGTATGTATGTATATGATTTGGAAGCAGGAGTGGCACCCACTTTCTAAACAACTTGCTTCCGGAAACTCTATGAACGTTGATAAATGTTGATAGTTGTAGAAGGGCTTCAGGACTTTGTTCATAGGGTCTCTATGAGTTGTGCTCAATTTGACGGCAATCAACAACAGGTATATGTATGTGTGTGTGTGTGTGTGTGTGCATATGTAAAAATCATATGTATAAATATGAAACTTTGCTTACTAGTATTGATATGTATGATGTATGTGTGTGTACTTATTTATTTATGGGCTAGCCCCTCCTGACGACAAACCCAAAGTGGTATGTGAGACTGCGTGTGTGTGGTTGTGTGCACAGAGAGAGACACAGACACAGAGGAATACACGGAGTCTTGTTGGAGACATGTGCACATTTGTTGCTGAGTCAATCATCGACCACATGTGCAGTGTTTTGGCTGTGATGTCATTAGGTGCTCCTGAGTTGACGATGGTCCACAGTGACCCCGTGAAAAACAGATCTGAACCCTGCCCTGTCCTGAGCTGTCCTAGCTACCCCTGAAACACTCAAGCCCGTCATCACAGTCACTATGTCAGTTCATCTTGGGGGTCCTCCCCTACTTCTCTGACCCTCCACCTTTCCCAGTGTGCTGTCTTTGCCCCCAGGACGGGTCCCTCCTGACAAAGCGCCCAAAGTATGTGAGATGGTCTCTCCATTCTTGCCTGTGAGGAACACACTGGCTATCCTTCCTCCAAGAGAGCTATGCATGTCCTTTTGGCAGCCAATGGTACTGAATGCCCAACACCACAGTTAAAAGGCACCAATTCTTCTGAACAAGTTAAAGCCCAATGACCAAGGTAACATGTGTACAGCAAGTACAGCTAGACTTCTGGTATATTATCAGAAGGGGCTAATCCTCGGAGACAGACATGATGCTTGGTTAAAACAGAGGGTCAGTGAACTAGAAGACTGTCCAGGAGAGGACAGCACAGCCTGGTGCAATGTTTCAGCATGTTGTTCTTAGGTTTGTTCTGAGTCACAGTTGACTTATCTTAATAACAACAATACAAGGAACTGACACAGTGGCTGCAACAATGAGCTCAAACAGCGACTGTGAGGATGGCACAGAACGGGTCCACGTAGAGCCCTTCAGTAAGAAACAACTCGGTGCCATCTAGCAAGAACCAGACGGGCTGGACCTCGGGCCCAGTCTCTTTCTCTCTCTATCTCTCTTTCTCCATCACTGTCCCTGTCCCTGTCACCAACCAGCTTTCAAGGGAGAAGTCCTGGTTGGAGATAGGAGGTGAGTTTTATCTCTGTCTAGAAGGCATTTATCATAATGGGAATAGATGAGATGATTACAACAGTAAAGTGCATAATAAAGGTATTTTACAGAAGATACATTTCAAAACCTAAAACTTTAGTTTTATATTTTGTTTTGTTTTTTTAAGGTTAAAAGTCCTAGATCTAACAGTACAAAGAGATGTTGTGTGAACATGATAATTGTACAGTGGTCACTTTAGTAACACCGAAGCTGTATGTGGACAGCAGCTGGCCAACACGGCCTGAGACCCGCTCTGCACTAACTGTACCGTGTGGTCGAGATTCGCCCAGGTCCGGCTGAGTTCCTGCAGCGTGCCCTTGACCTCACCGGAGACCTCCTCTTTTTTGTTCTGAATCAAAGCCAATCCGTTCTGTTCAACTGCCTGCACTTCCTTTTCTTTGGCTTTAATCAAGTCTTCGAGCTCCTGAAAGATCAAGACACACACATACAAAGTCACTTTAAATGGTTCTTTTATGAAATTCTGGAGTCCTCTAAAGTTGAGGCGCTGTATTAAAAATTGACTCTTGTATTCTAAAAAAACAAAAAACAAAGCTTTGATTTGTCCAAACTTAGGATTCTCAGAAGAGCATCGTCACAATGTTTCTCCTACCCACACTACATTTTTTTTTTAAAAAGTTATCTCTGTCCCTTGACAAATGAACATAATTAAATAGCAGTATGTATTTTTTTTTCTCAAGGAGCTCCAAGAAAAGAAATATATACCACAAAGCATGCACTATATTCTTAAATTTGTGTATTCTATCTATCATCTATCTATCTATCTATCTATCTATCTATCTATCTACCTATCTATCATCTATCTATCAGCATTTGGGAAATTATAATGTTTGCCCTCATAGGAAGGAGCCCTGTTGGCGTAGTGCACAACATATTGCACTGCTAACCAAAAGGTGGGCAGTTTGAACCCACCAGCTGCCTCACGAGAGAAAGACTGACAGTTCTCATGTTAAGATTTACAGCCTTGGACACACAAGGGAGGGATGCTAAGAGGTGGACTGACTTGATGGCAGTGGGCCTGGGTTGACTTTGGTTAACTCAGAGGAAAAAGAAAAAGTACAAATGGGGTTCTGAGCTTTAGTATCTGAGACCCAGAAGAAGGATACTGAGACAGAGGAGACCCATTAGGGTGAGTGGGAAACTTCTGTTGTGTCTAAGATCCTTTGGATAGAAAATGAAAAGGTCAAATGAATGAAGGCTGCCAAAGTCTCTCTCACTCTCTCGAACAGTCTGATTCTATGTAATTTTGAAAGAGGAATGATTTTCCTCGTGCATGGAAACCTTACATCTTTAAAAACAAAACAACTCATGCTCATTGCTGTTCAGACAAAAGCAATGAATAATAATAATAATAATAATAATAATAATAATAATCCTGTTGTTTTCCATGAAGCTGCTGGTGGTTTTGAACTAGCAGAGAGGCGGGCCTTTGGTTTAGCAGTGCAACTTCCTATGGACTACCACCAGAGCTCCCTACCACATTAAAGATATGCATTTATAACTGTCCATATGAACTGTCCTAAAACAAGGTTGACACAGCTGTATGTCTTAATTCTAAAGTGCATTTTAATTCCATTTGAAATATTAAAAATTTCACAGCAGGCAGAGGTTGCTATCAAGATAGCACAGTTGAATAAGAGAATGGCCAAATTATCTAACCAGCCTGGGGCCCCATCTGGTGGAATTAGAACCCAAGACTCTGAGGTTACCGAGTCCCAGACAAGTGCAGGAGAGAAGCCAGATGAACCGGCAACTGGGGAGAACTGAAATACCCGGGCTGATGTGAGGTGGCCAGAGGTGCTTCAAGGCATGCTGGCAACTCCGTACTCAGAAATGAATGACCAGAACAGAAGACAAACTTGTAGGCTTTTAGGAAAAGAGAAAATAAAAATTCTTTTGGCCAGGTTTTGATAATGTCTCAACTGGACACCCTCTTTGTCATATATCCACAGGCAGTGTGGTCGGTAAAGAACCGGGGAGGGGTCCACGGCCTGCTAGTTTGATTATTAATTGTGTGCCCTCTCGTTTTACTGGTTGTGTCTCAATTTTTTCATCTCTTGCTACCTGGAGAAAGTTGTAAGAACTACTGACTTTTTTTTTTAGCCAAGCACTTGACCATGTGTACTTGCAGAGCTCATCCACTTACCAAAAACAGATAATAACATATACTCTCCTTAGCTCAAAGGGGTACAATTATATTAACAAAACACATTGTCACGGAGTTGGAGCTGACTTATAGCTGACCCTCCAGAAGGTTTTCTCAGAAGCTGTAAATTGCATGGGAGGAAATGGTCCATCTTTCTCCCATGGAGTCAGGGATGGATCCAAAACACCAGGGACACACCACCTGTGGGTTCCTAGGACAACTCCCAATGCGCTGTGCCACCAGAGCTCCAAAATGTAAATCAGTATCCATGACATACAAAATTTAAATCAGTATCTATGACATACAAAATTTAAATCAGTATCCATGACAAACAAAATTTAAATCAGTATCTATGACGTACAACATTTAAATCAGTATCCATGACATACAAAATTTAAATCAGTAACCAGGCTGCTCCTTGGAGGCAAAGATTCTGGGGCTTCGTCTGATATACTTTGGACATGTTGTAAGGAGAGACAGGTCTTTAGAGAGGGACATCAT